AGTGAAGATATGGAAACATCTCACTGTGTATTTCTCAGTATCTCACTCTCTATGATTGGAACTACCTGAAAAATATGTCAGATACTTCAACAGTGCAAGAGGACCCATGTAGAGTATTTTTCTCACATGCTAATATGTTAACACAAGGCTACACAAACATGACACTACCATTAAAATCTTGTGTTGATGGACTGGTCTCACTGGTTACAAATCTCGCTTGAGTCAAGACTTCAAATAAGTCTACATACCTCACTCTCAGCAATCTTTCGTATATAAAGCCTCCCTTGTCCTCGTTCACTGCGGTAAACATTTTCTGGTGTGTAACATCGGAAGCAACACATACCATGGTTAAGTTCTTCCAATTTGTTGTTTTTGTCAGCTTTCATGAAGACAAAACAAGCATTTTCCAATTTAGGATAAATTTCAAACAACTTCTGTTTTAACTGTTCATTTGTCAGCCCCAACGGAAATTCCACTTTGTCATCACTTACACAATGTTCTGTAAAAAATATGAAGTTATTAAAATGGTCAGAAAATTACCCATATGTACCAAATAATAATGGTTGTTTACTCATTGAGCGCCAAATTACTCTCCCATAAAATAAAGTAGGGCACAGTGGAACTTAAGACACATTACTAGATGCATGGGTAGATAGTCTAACCCATTACAAACCAGTGCTCTCCCTTAATGAGTAAAATTGTCTGGTGTAATAATACAGGGTGCTGAGTGCAATTTAATGGGTTAATGATTCATCAAAATGGGAGTGGTGACTAGCAACACTATGGGAATTGGCACACAATTTTTATGATCAACTTATCTCTAAGTTCTCATTCTTGGGTTTCAATCATGGGATTTTTTAGCATGATCGAGTGGTCAATCATAATGAACTGAGGTCAACTATTAAAACAACATAGAAACAAAATAGCTGTCAACACATATAATGTAAATAACTAAATCAAGTTATCTGACTATTATAAAAGCTAATATATAACAATATAAAGCCACTCTTTACCCTTATGTGAAGTCATACAAAACCTGAGAATTACAGTAATTCCACACTCAATTACCTGGTTGTGGTGGCCCACATCCTTTCTGCATTAATTGTTCTATCCCTCCTTTTGAACATGTTTCTCTTGTAACTTTTGTGATCTTTTTATCTGGGTCAAGCAGAAACAACCGGACAGTAAGATTGCTAGGTTGTGGTCCTCGCTTCCTTCTACTTGACAGATGGAAATTTGCCATTGCTTTGATACAGGTTACATATTTTCAAACAGAGTTTAACCAGTCAATATATGTAGGTTGTCCAAGCCACACTGAAACACAAATATTAAATTGGTGACACAATGGTCTGAGTCTACCTATTAATTAACCCCTTGAAATGGCAATGATTCACCCTGCTTTATTATTTCACTCTGTTTAACACCAGACAATTTTACTTGTCAAGGGGAGAGTGCTGCCATTCAATGAGTTACTCCATGTACTACTTGGAAATGTAGTTGCATGAATAAAAATTACAAAATAACCATGTAACAAGGTATTATATTAATCTGACTCACAGGAGAGGTGCAATATTTACACCATATATGCTGGTTAGTAGTTAATTATTTACTGGTTAAATTTAGAAAATAATTTATGAAAGGATAAAATATGTAAGCAGTATGGTTTATATAAACCATATATATTACTACACATGTAAAAATGCACAAGTCGTAACAAGTCTGCAAACAAGTTGTTACATGTCTGTTCACAAGCTGTCAACAAGTTGCGTACACAATTGCTTGTTCCCAGTTTGTTGGAACAAACTGTTGACAACTTGTAACAAGCTTGATGGCACTATCAGCACTGTGCTAACAAGAGTGTTACAGCCATGATATAACAAGAATGTTACAAGGTTGTCAACACAAGGTTGTAACAATCAAGCATGTAACAGATTTGTCAGAACAACCTTGCAACAAGTCTGATAATTTCAACAAGGTTGTTACAAGTTGTTCCAAACCTGTTGACAACTTGTGACAAGCAGTGCAAATACATCTTGTTGACAGACTTGTTACAAGATTTTTATGTGTGTACTGTTTATTCTATTTCATGAACCATCTAGAAATTTTAAACTCCCCATGGGCATGGAAACATCAAGTATCAATGTAAAAAGTAGCAGAGTATAGATTACTAAAGTAGCAGAGTATACATTTTCCAAACTGACCCAGCATCTGCACAAACTGAGAAAAGCCGGTAAGATCAGTAGCTCACAATCCAATCTGGCAATCATGATCAGAGCAACCACTCGAAAAATGTTTAGCAACTTTAAATTGGTGGTTGGGGGTTGCTTAGGGGGGCCCCCTTGTGGCGGCCTGTGGGGGGTTAGAGGTACAAAAGTTTCGTCTGGTGAATTTCCGTTTCAATCAAGAAAATCTTTTGAATTTGCTGCGAAAAGACTAATCGTTTCATAAACACAACATAGACAACAGTCGCAGTACGATTTTGGACGACAAAATGGCCACTGGCCAAGTAGTCAAAATACGACCAACAAGTCAACAACCAAAGTCCCTCCGACGACAATTGAGCCGATTTGGGATATAAGAAAAGCAGTTATTTAGGTCATTGATTATACTATAGCCGATAGTAATGGGCATTGACTATGCTTTAAATATACGAGGCTGCAGTACGATTTCGAAACTGTATGCATACTCGTCTGCTTGCAGTGCGATGGTTCACACGAATTCGTGCCGTGTGAACGCCGTGGCAAAAATCGTTTAAACTGGAGCACGGTTTCCGAAATCGTCCAGTTCCATTTGAAATGAGTCGAGTCTTATTTTTAGCTTTTAGACACACAAACATACACGGAGTACAATAGATACAAGATATAGATACTTTCGAGACAAGATTTGATGTGAATGGGCGGCAAATTGGCGAAATTGCTACAAACGAAACTTGTAAATTTTCAGTCGCTTCGTTATTTAATTAATCCTGTTCCCAGAGGTTTTATAGAAGAGTGAAAGTAGATTTACTTTATAAAGAAAACCCAACAATATTTACTGTAAGAACTTACCTTGGCTGAATTCAACTTTTAATACAGCTAAACACACCAGTTCTTCCTGCACAATCCAAATTGCGTATTGCGTATGCGGAATTAATTCTGTTGCCATTACATGAAATATATTATGTCCAAGAGCTTTAACCAATCACATTTCAAAGAATTCGATGCACGTTACAAAAATGACCAATCATAACATAGTTGCCAAGAGGAGAGGCAGGCTAAATTTAAACTAAAAGCATCTGTGGCTACTGCGTAACGCATCATTGCCAAATGCAAACACAGACTACACAGTGGGATATTTGTTGTGCGCTTCTAATCCGCGGTTGTATATGAAATATTGAAACTCGCAATTGCTTTAATACCACTTCGAAAAGATTAATGGAAATGAAAACGAACCAATCATAACTTTGTATATAACTGCCTAGGTTTTGGGGGAGAAGGGACAGTTTAGCGGGGAAAGTCAACTGGCTGTAAGCAGGGAGGCCTTAGCACTCCCAACTAAAATGTTCCAAAAAGCTTTGGCTGCAATGTTAAAATAATGATCTATTTATAATTTTATCCAACGTTCCCCTTATCTATCGCGTAGTCGTTTTCCATCTCTCTTTCCTTTCATTACCCATCGCGTGAAAAATGGCCCCTTTCGCTAGCATACCCATATGATGTCAATCTTGAATTTCGTCTTGGCGAGGAGCCAAGTCCTTTAGTCCTGTTATCCTCAGGTCGGAATTTCAGCCACTTTCAATTCTTCACTTGTCGTCTGACCACCGTGTAATATACGGCAATAACATTGACAGTAACTTGTTTTAACGCCTTTACCCGAACATTTACAAATGGTGTACAAAATATAGGTTCAAAACTTTTCATAGCGTTTTTATATGTTGCTAAATTCTTCTGTTACAAAATAAATTTCAACCCAAACCTTTGACCAGACGAAATTATACCATATTAAATTCGTCTTCTTTTTCATTGCTCATATATTTAGTTTCAGTAGCTAGGTGCTTTTCACCTGCTTTGCTTTACTTGGTACTTTATGTATACTGTCAGCGTTTAACGGATTTTGCTTCTTTAGCCGTTTGCACGGCGATATGCAAACGGCGATAAGTAATTGTTTTTTCTTGTGAAAAACACAACGTTTAATTATTTGGCAAGGACTATATTTGGACGCACTTAGAAAACAAACACTCTAAATGTTGTCAAATCGAAATATTGATTATTGGGGAAGTTCAGATTTTGACTCCTACAACCGCTACCATCAACCAATCATTTATACTCTACCAGATTGATTGACCAATCAAATGCGTATTAAGCTTGTGAGCGGCATTGAAGTCAAATCTGCACCTTTGACCCTTTGTATTTTATATTTTTGTGGCTTCATTCTAGTTCATATTAGTTGCACACTCTGATATAATGCGGCCAATAGGTCCAATTAACTATGGCCCAATGTAAGGCAAGACATCAACCCAACGATCGAGGAAGATCCGGGCGGTAACGGACCGAGAGTTCTGCCACAGAAAAAAAAAAAATTAATATCTAACACGTTGCATCTGTTTTTCACAACAAAATTAGTAACAATGCCATATAGTATTGGCTGCCCCGTTCGCAAGAAGGAACTAATTTGCAACAATTAGTAGCCTTAAGCGGTTTCAATCAATTTAGAGTAATCCGGTATACTGATCTAAATTCTAAAATACCCAACACAACCAACTACCATTCAGCTTCCCCAGTTGCTTTGGTGAACACATAATCTTTAGTATTCAAGTTCATGATACCATCTTTGAGATGAAACTTCCACTTGTTTTTACTTCTTGTAATCTGTGGTAAAAAGAAAAGTAGATTATAAATTTCATTTACTTTGAGATACACTTCATTACCTAAAAATATTCAACTGCCTTCCTTTTCAGTACTAATGAATCATGATTGGGCCATCCCGTTTTCCTTATAGTAGAATCACGAGAACAGTTTATCCTATTTTGAATAATTTACCATGAAACAAACAGACAAGAGACCTATCCAGATTTCACTCATGATTAGTGGCAGGCTTTCTAGTGAAATCAACTATTTCGCTGACCTCAGAATGACATTTCGTCAAAACTTTTTTCTTCAAGATTGGTTTTAATTAGAAACAAATTTGGAGTAGGGTTAGGTTAGGATTACGGTTAGAGTTGGTGTTTGGAGTAGGGTTAGTGTTAGTAAAACCGTTGCTTTGTTACGTTTTGTCACTTTGAGGTCAGCGAAATAATCTCTTCCCTTTCTAGTGGCCAAGCCGCAGTGGTGAAGGATAATGGCTTGGGGATGAATGTTAGACACACATACCCGATCAAACTGACAAACAACAACGTTATCTGTATCAAAAAGATCCGAGCTGTCATCGTCGGACACGTCGTCTTCAGAATTTAACGGGTCTCCGTCTTCCTAAAGAGACAGCGTTCAAAATAAACACGCAAGCCTCAGAATGTGCAATAAATTGGACCGGCAAAGTTTACGATCTAAAACGAAATCAAATCTTGCAAAGGAAGCTGGTCAACTCGGCCCATTAACCAACTCGGCCCAAACCATCTCGGCCCTATAGTTAAATACTGTTTGACATATTAGGGAAGCTTATTAATATTTTACAAAAGGCAGCACCAAACCGATACAGCCATTTGCAGATGCATTGGGCATACAGATGGGTAAAGTTTGATTGCAATTGGCTCTGAGCAATTTCTAAATCAATATCACAAGAGAATCTCCAGTTTGACTTAATTTAATTAATCTATCAATGTTTCAAATTCTCGATCTGTCCGTTTTACTAAATTATTGATTTTTCAAATCTCTCTCAAAATTTGCAAAGATAGATGTAGTCATCATCATGGCTCCTAGCTTGTTCAATGGTTAGATTGGTCAGTTTATGAGTGTGTCCGTGAACGGTGGGCCGAGTTGGTTAGTGGACCGAGTAGACTGCAAAG